GTGAAAAAAAGAGACTCTATAAATGTGACTTTGAGGAAAACATTTGCTTTGCTTGCCAAAGCTGGCCATTATTAGAATGTTTTCCACCAAAGGCTAAAGAAGGGGCAGTCTTAAAAGTAAAAATAATTTCTTTATCATTGTTCACAGTTCTTTAAGTACCTATTGCTTAATATTTCACATTGGGGTTCAATATTGAAGGATGAAACTAGATATCTCTGAAGAAACAAAAGGAATAGGAGAAAAGATGGGGACCAAGGAATTTTTAAAAACAACAGGTAGCATTTCGTCACCATCCAACCATAATTTTACTGAAGCAATAGCTGTTGAGTGCTTCAGACATGGCTGTATTTTTGGCGCTCGGCCCATGGAATAGAGAACCAGAGGGTTTATCTAACTGCAGCTAGGGGTAGGGTTTGTGGAGCTTTAAATGATGAAAGATGGACCACCAACCGCACGGGGCAGAGTATGAAAAGTGGAGACTGACATTCATCCCAACCAGGACCTGGAGTCCTGGATCCATGGAGGAAAAAGGGGCATTGAGGGATGGGCAGTGCAGGAAGTGCTTATGTTTCAACAAAAGCTCAGTTGCATAAGAGAAGAGGAAGGAGGAAGCCTTGGCAGAAGAAACAGTGCCGTCCCTGTACAGCAAAGAAAGAACAAAGCCAAATATACAATTCTTATCTTCTGGAAGACACTCTTCCAGCTACACCCAGTCTTTCTGCTCAGAATACTGGCTGGCTTCCTTGTTTCCTTGTGCCCTCTTTTCACAGGATCTTATCTGCAGCTTTCCCGGATCCCAGAGGCTTGGAATTTGGGACAGGTCCAAGAACAAGCTCTCAGTGTAATTGCCACCCAAGCCTGGTTCTAGGTTTTGGTACAGACTTGGAGTACCCAGGGTATTTAGTAATTTAGTAGTCCAGTAGCCATGCCTGGCTATGCACCGGATACCAGACTGTGGTCTCATGCACTCATTTTTGATAGCTATATGTTCATCACCCATCCGGCTGGCTTGCTCCTCTCAGCCCTTCACAAACCAAGGGAAACAGTCTTTGTGAGCCAGACTTTAGTGGCCAGTAATGTCTAAGGCATTGTTGATACTCAAGTTTGTGGTGATTACAAACCCACAGTGTGCGATTATAACTTTATAACCATGTTGCACAATAGCACCATGTATGTGCACCTTGATGACATCAAACTTGTTCTTTCAATTTCCATATCTCAGAGTTTTCTTTATACCCTGACAAGAAAGTGGTGGTTTCCTTGAGTTGGGGATTTGTTTTTGTTTTGGGGAGTTGTAGTTGTTGGTTTTAGAAATCTTCTGGCATTAGTTTGCTCATCTGGAAAAACAGGTACCTAAACATTCTTCCCTGCTTCTCAGAGTTGCCATGAGGATTAACATAATGCAAGCATAAGTGCTCTAATAAACATCAGTGTTTAAAAGTCCCTTACAGATGTTAGCATGTGGTTTGCTAAAATAGTAGAACCTCATAAGGCCTGCAGAACATAAGCCTCAATCTCCAGAACCCTCTGAGTCTCTGAGTCACAGGCTGGAGCATGATAGAGCAAGACCTTAAGAATAAGAAAAGCCATCCAGATGCTAACTTGGGTCCAGCAGCCCATGCTAAGTGAAGTCATCCCTTTCCCTGTCTTGTTTCTGTGATTCAAAGAGGCCAGTATGTTTGTCCCCTGCAGGGGGAAAATGGCTGATTGCTTTTCCCTCTGCTCAAGGATCCCAGGGTGTGGACACCAGGGGTTCTGTGAAGTTCCACCAACAGCCTCTCCCCATGGCACTTTCCATTCACACCGAGCACAGGAGGCCCCTGCCAAGGGCTGGGACTCATCTGCCTTCCATCTGCAAAACGCATAAGTCACATCCCAGCCACACAAAGGCTTGTTTTCAGGTCCCTCCTGTTCTTAAAAAATAGGAGAGAAAGTTCTCTTCTCTTTAGTGGAATCCATTTTCAATTTAATCCTGAACTAAGTTATGTCTTTTTGATTGCATAAACAATACAAAAATCTATTTATGTCCAGATTTTGAAAATCTTAGATTATCCATTTTTATTTTTTTTAAATATATTTTTATTGATTTCAGAGAAGGGAGAGGGAGAGAGAGAAACATCAATGATGAGAGAGAATCATTGATTGGCTGCCTCCTGCATGCCCCCTACTGGGGATCGAGTCACCACTCGGTCATGTGCCCGGACCAGGAATCGAACCTTGACCTGCTGGTTCATGGGTGGATGCTCAACCATTGAGCCACACCACGTGGTCTGAATATTCATTTTTAAATGACTGCTAAATTTGTTCTCTTGGGTATGTTTTTATTACTTTGGCATTGGAACCACACTCATCATGCATTTCTGTACAAAACATAAATTTCAAGTCCCAGAAGAAAAGACACTAAGCAGGAGTACTCGTACTCATCATCTCTTTATTCCATCCAGAGACTAACAGGCTTGTGGTAGATTAAAGAAAGGGAGACTGGCTCCCCCAATCACCTGGGTTCCTTCAACATCCGTCTTAACAGCAACGCAAAAGGGAAAACAAGATGCCAGTATAGGTGAAGGTTTATTATCCCTGAAATTCTCAAAATGAGAAAGCTGCTTTTGGTTTCTTTGGCTGCCATCTAGTGGTGAATGACATAGTGCCAATAAAACACTACATCTGTGAAGATGAACTCTTCAACGCAAGAGCAAAAACAGTTAATTAAATAAATATTATTGCAGACATGAGGCTTTTCTAATAATTCATAGTTAGTTCTAAAATGTCATTCACTTTCCTGTTTTCTGGTTTATATTCTATTCCATGAAGAGACAGAGGATTCCATTACCATTCATGGATTTAGCATTAATACTGTGCACCAGGACCAGCGCTATTAGAATGAATAAAATAATCTCCCTGCCTTCCGTGGAGAGACATGAAATCAAATAATGGGAAACATGATGAGTGCTTTTGAAAAAGAATAAAGGAGTCGTCAGGGACACCAAGAAAGAAGAAAATCTGTATTATGGGCCAGAAGAAATTGAGTTGAGGCTGAGTGGTATGAGTGGGAGTTCTCCGGACAGACAAGAGGGAAGAACATAAAGAGGAGTTAGAGGCTGTGTGTTGGGGAACGCTGAGAGATGGTGTCAGGGAGCTAGGCAGGGAATAGGTCAGGAAGGGCCTTTGAGGCTGCATTAGGTAACTCCAGTAGTCCCCCCTAGCCATGGTTTCACTTCCACAGCTTCAGTTACCCTCAGTCCACCATGATCTGAAATATGAAATGGAAAACTCCAAAAATGAACAATTCATAAGTTTTAAGTCATGTGCCATTCTGAATGTGGTTCGATCAAATGTACTTGATCAATTAAAAAATACCTTACAGAACTCGAACCCCACCCTCTCCACCACCCCCCCCCCCCCCCACACACACACACACACAATTTTATTTCAGAGAAATACCTTGTGGCCTCATTGGGGGTGGCTCGGTTGCCATGTGGAAATGTAAATGCACCAGCTGATGCATTCACCCAGCTGTGGGGGAAACCCAAAAGCAGAGATCCAACCACAGACTGGGGGCTAAGAGACAAAGCTGAGGGCTTTCCATTGAGATCGATCAAGAATCTCAGCTAACCAGAGCCTGGACCAGTGATAAGCCTGTGACTCCTGTCTCTTGAGACCTTGTGTGCAGTGGCTAAAACCAATGTTGACTGTGCTATTTTAAATTTATCATTGCCAGGTTTCTCTTTGTGAGCATTTTCAATGGAGTCTCTAATGCCTAGAGACCATTATATAACACTCAGATCAGCAGTTCCGTAGCATCCCTATCTTTTCCAATTAAAATTGGATTCTAGGTCTAAAGTACTTCAGTCTCAGATCCTCAAAAAGGGAAAGCTTAGTGAGGGCAAAGAAATATAATGAGTGTAAAAATACATGCACATAAACCTCGCCTTTTTTTCTCTCTAGGCTTTGCAGGTTAAACACACACAGATACATACACACACACACACACACACACACACACACAGCTGGGTTGGTAGGCAAATCTTTCCCAAGGATCTGTCAACCAAAGCCCAGTCATCTCCATCTGATTGCAGACAAATGAGAAATCACTGTTAATTATATTTGACATCCAAAGTTAACAAGAAAAATCTAGCAGATATTCTCCTTCCTCCTTCTATGTCACTGTGGAGAGTGAGAAGAAGGGAGAGTGGCTCTCACAGGAAACGTAGTGGTTACAAATGTGGGTCAGGTACAGACTGCCTTGGGTTCAAATCCTGGCTCTGCTCTTTATGACCATAGACCTCAGGCAATTTAGCAGACCTCTCCATGCCTCAGTTCTCTTTACCACAAAATGCAGATACCTCTCCTTAGGCTCATTGGGAGGAGTAAATGAGTTATTACCAAGAATGTGCTTCGAAGGAATGCAGCTAAGGCTCAATAATTGTAAGCTATTATTAATGCGTCCAGAAATCTCCACATATTTTGCAAAGAAAGGCTAGTTGTCCCCCTGCCTTCAAGTGTTGACAACTCTGAAGTTGGAGGCTCCCAAAGCATAGGAAGTGAGCCAGCTGCCAGCACTGCCGCCACCCCAGGCAAACCCAGCCAAACTCTAACATGCTTGTGTCTTCAACACTAGGGTTAGTTCATTATACCTCTCACAGCTCCTTTCAACCTGGCAAGAAAGCTTACACGTAAAAGATTCATTTAATGTAGAATTTCCTTCTCTGTTAGGGCAGGAAAGGAGAGTCTTTTAAGAGCCTTTGACGCCATGTGCCTCCAGCAGAGGTTTATTCTGCCTGCTATGCAAACCCGACTAGTCACCTTGTCAGATTCCAATTGTACTAAAAAGAGGAGCCCTCTACCCTACCCCCTGCCCCCAGGTGTTCTCTGATTCCAACTTTGTTCTCTGAAAATTCAGGTCTCAGCCTGAGCCTAAAAAATCTGCCACCGCCCCAAAAATGATAATGAGGGAAGAAAAAAATTCCTCTTGTGACTCAGTTTTTTTGTATTATTTAAAGACATGCAAAGCCTAGAGAAGCTCCTGAGAGACGCTGTAATCTATGGCCAGCCTCGAACCCGCAGAGCTTGGAAAAAGATTCTCATCATGGTGGAGGGCGTCTACAGGTATGTAAATAACCGGAGACATTTCAACACTAAGAAGCCCGCAGCAAGCTGACAAATGGGGAAAGGCTGACCTCCGCTAGCAAGAGGGAAAAATGGGTGAGATATGGATATGATGGAGGGGTCCGAGCTAAGCTGTGAATGTGAGCTGCCAAGCCTTGGGTCACCTGTCTCTTTAATGGCTATACATATGGCAGAGCACCTTGGCGGCTGGCAAGCTTGTGAAGGCTTCTTCAGAAATACCCTCACAGGTCATTGCTGACTTGCATTGATTCTTTCTTCTACCTGTGGCTGCCCACAGTTTCAAAGGCCTTTGGGGGCTGGAATGCTCTTTGCCTTTACAACTCTAGTAGATGTTGCCCATGGGCACCTGGGTGGCCTTAACCTGGACAGTGCAGCCAACTTCCAGTTGTTTGCTGATCTTGGCCAGTAGTTGGTATCAGAATACAAAAGGCCTGCTCATTTCCCTCAACCTGAACTGCAGTTCTCCAAGAGAGTTCAGGGGTGGGGAGAGAGAATGGTCTTGGCTCTTGCCTGAGTTTTCTGCCCCCTTTTGAGCCAAGCAGACAAAACACCCCATTAAAGCCTTTTGGAGCTGCACTTATATACTGCAGCTTGTGACTGAGTTTGCCTCATCCCTGACTGGATTGATTATCGTTACTGAAATGGAAATTTCCTCCAAGCTCTCCTTCTGTTAGATACCCTAGTCCAAGAATCAAGGAAACATTATCTCAGAGTTGCTCACTCCTAAATCAGTCCTCAAACAATCTTATATTAGAGGAATGGAGGAAGATGTTTCCTATGAGATAATTATAGGAAAGTGAAAAATACAAAAAGGAAGAGAACGAGGGCTTCACTTCCCAACAAGGAGGAATGTGGCCGCAGTGGAGACTTGGGAACAGAAGCAGCGTTTGTTTGTTTTTTTAATTGGTCCCAGAGTGCATGCTGTTCCTCTTACATAAATAAATGACAAGCAGCAGATGAAATGTGTCTTCATCCATTTTGGGGGGAAAAAAGAAGTGCTTTCTCCCAAAATAAAATTATCATCATACTAGTATCATTTTTTCCCCTCTAGTATTTACTGCCCCAATGGCTGGTGTTCTGGGTGTCCCCAGCGCTACTGTGGGGTTGCAAAGTTGGCATTTCAAGTTTCTAATAGGCCACTCTCTGCATCACCTACCGGGACTCCTCAGGCGTGTCCTGTTTATGAAACCTCTGGGATCACCCTAGCCCAGCGTTCTCAACCAGGGTGATTTCTTACCCACAACTCACCCCACCCCAGGCACATTTGCCAATTTTCAGCTGTCACAAATGCAGATCACACTGGCATCTAGTGGGCAAAAGGCCGGGGATGCTGCCGAACAGCTTACAATGCACAGAACAGTCTCCTACAACAAAGGGTTATCCAGCTTAAATGTCAACAAGACTGAGGTTGGGACACCCTGCTGTAGAATAATTGAACTACTCACTGGCTCTGAACTTGCACTTTTAGGAAATAACCTCACATTGCCTTGGGTTGTCATGACCGCAAGCACAGACCTTTCTTCCTTTTGTGCCAGCTGCCAGCCTGCAGGAGAGCCCTTATCTAAACACCTGTCACAGGGCCTGGAATAGCGGGAGGACCTATCAGCTGAGGAAGAGCAGACTGGGCATCTCCGTTAACCAGAGCAAACAAAATCCAACTGAAAATAAATAGACCGTGACTCCACTAAAGGGAAGTTGCATTTTAAGCACTTTGATCGTGGCTGAAATTAAGTGGGCCACCAGCGTTTTTACTCTCAGATACTCCCATCAGTGACAAGAGAAATCACTCCAGCAGCAGGCCCTCTTCATGGCTGCACTGGCTCTGGGTCCTACTGTGACCTCAGGAGGACAGGAGAGCCGGGTGTGGATTCCTGGCTCTAAGCCAGCCCAGCACTAAACCACAACTTCAGCTTCTCTAGTAATGATGACCATTCATTAGTAATGTGACCCATTGCTGCATAACAGACCGCACCAAAATGTAATGGCTTGCACAGCAATGAGCTGTTGTTTCCCATGCTCCCTTCTGCTCTGCCTGCTGTTGGTTAGGGGTCATTCATTGTGCTGGGTGGTCAGCTGGGTCTGGGATATCCAAACGACCTCACTCCCACATTTGGGCTCATGGTATTGGCTGTTGACTGAGGTGCCTGGTTCTCTGCCCTTCCCTGGGGTGCTTTTTCTATCTGTAGGCTCGTCTCACTTAGCGGGAGCTTCCTCACAGCATGGCAGCTGGATTCCAGGAGAAGGAAAGCAGAAGCTGCCCGTCTTTTGAGGGCAAAGCTTGGAGCTGGCACAGTATCACTTCTGCCACACTCAATTGGTCCAAGCACATTGCAAGGCCAGCCCAGATTCAAAAGGAGGGAAAATAGAATGGCTTCTTGCTGGCAAGGCTGGCTCATGTGTCCAGGGATGGGAAGATGTGTAGGTAGCCATCGTTGGTGGGAATCTACCCCAAGGGCTCCATGAATCTGGCATGTGTCCACAGTGCAGAGTCCACCTCCCATGGACTTGCCATCACAAAGAGGTTCCTTTAATGTCACCAGCACAGAAATATCACCTTTAAATAAGACTGTGAACTAAGAGGCTTCATTCATAGATAAGAAGTAGAGCACCTCTTAGACAGTGCTCAGTGCCTCCTGGGGCCTGAGTTTTCTCAACTGTAAAAGAAGGCTAGCCTAGAGTAGAGTTCTGGAACATATGGATGTTCTCATTTGATGCAGTCACCAGAAAATGAAATGATTTCCCACAGATTTTCCAAAGGGCTAAGGTTAGAAATGTGCAATCAATAGTTTACAAATGCACTGCCACTTTTTAGAGATGTACTATGAACACATACCTGGTTGATATCTACAGGAAGCCTCCTTTGAACTTTCACTCCCAGATTTTATCTCTTGCTTGTGGCTTCCCATCATGGGCAAAGTCCTCCCACCACAGGGAGCTCACCGAAATCAATGTTTTCGTAACTCCAAAAGAGAGCAGTCAGCCAAATCAGAAAGTTTCAGGCAGGTAACAGGTAGAAACGGCTAGATACCAAGGCCAAGAAATCAGTAAGCTCAACAAAAGCAGTTGTGATCATAATAACATCAATAATAATAGTCATGTCACTACCCATCAATCATCTACATATTATTCTTTACATTTAGAATATAGAAGAGTCAGGATTTGCAGGGAGGCCTGGGATCTGGATTCAAATCTTATTGTTGCTGCCTACAGCTGAGTTCCCTTCATAAGGTTCTTTTTTTCTTCTTCTTCTTCTTCTTTTTTATATTTTTATTGCTTTCAGAGAGGAAGGGAGAGGGAGAGAGAGATAGAAACATCAATGATGAGAGAGAACCATTGATTGTCTGCCTCCTAAACACTCCCCACTGGGAATCGAACACACAACCCAGGCATGTGCCCTTGATCGGAATCAAAACTGGGACCATTTAGTCCACAGGCCAACGCTCTATTCACTGAGCAAAACCAGCCAGGGCCATGATGTTCTTTTTTAAGTGTTAAATGAGGTCATATAAGCTAGTGCTTGCCAAAGCCCAGCCCACAGTAAGCCTGCAACCAAGGGTAGCTTCTTTCATCATTAAATTTATTTTCACTTGAGGAAGTTGCAACTTGGAAAATAACCTTCTGTATAGCGAAGCTGTTTGCTCTTCACCCATCTCGAGGAGTGGTGTCAGAGGAAGGAGCCCACATTGATCATATTTCTACTCCTTGCTAATCATTTCCCATAGACCATCTTGAGTAAGCCTCCCCAGGTCTCTTGAGGTTATTGTGAGGGTGAAGACATCGAGGCTCCGAGGCCAGGACAACTTGCCCCAGGGCAGATAACTGAGATGAAACAGAGCTGGGATTCAAACCAGGTGGCCCTGCTGGGACAGAGGCCCAGTATAAACAGGAGAGTCAGCTAATGTGTCCACATCGAATGAAGTAAACATGGAAACTACAAGGTCATCCATTTGACTTTCAGCATTTACCTATCAAGGGCTTAGGTTCTTTATCTGTAAAATAGGAAAACTGAAACTTGAAGTCTAAAGTTCCATGACTCCATGATTTTTGGTTTAAAAGTACAATAGTAATATTTTAGCATTCTGGTTTGTATTTTCATTTAAATATTGTTCTAAAATCACACTTTTCAAATTTTGTGTCTCTGAGAAGTCTTGTTTTTTAATCACTGCAGTAGAGAAATCTCAAAATTACTAAAAAATATACAAAAGAAGGAGAGAGGGGTCTTTAAATAATCTGAGATATAAACTAGCATAGCTGTAACACAAACCTTCAAAATAAAATTAACCAAGAAATAATATCCAACCCTTCAAAAAAACACATATATAAAGAAATGCTGAAGTTTCAGAATGCCATTTTCTCTAAGCATATAAGCCATTCTCCTCCTCAAAATAATGTAGGTTTAAGGATTGAGAACTTCTGTGGTAATCTCTAACCTATGCCTCTATCATTGAAATAAATAAAGACAAAGAATAAGAAAACACTAGTTACTCTATTTTTAATTAGTCTTAGCTCTTTTTGCTCTCTCTTTCCACCTTCCTTCCTTCTCGTGGGTTATACTTTGGGCCCACCAAGGAGATTTTTCCACCATGTAAGTTGGCAAACTACCAGTTTAACTCCCATCCTGCCAGTGGATAATATGGTTTATATCGGGAGGAGAAGGTGGTGAGAGGAAGATTTCCAAAAGGAGTCTTGTCACTTAGCTAATACACTATGTAATAGAAAAGATATAAAGAAATTATTCACTGGCTTGCTGGTTTAAGCATAATTCAAATTCCTGCACAGAGCTTCAAATTAACTGGTGGAATTATCTTACCTGCAGTATATTTTAGTTGATTTTCTTCTATTGAAGTCAAAAGAAAACACAACTTTCCATTCAGGAAGAAAGAATAAACACTCTTCTTGTTTTCTACTTCGTTTTGACAGAAATTCACAGGAATAGCATAGATACCTTTTATGCATGCACCAAACTCAATATCCCTCTATAGGAAACGGTTCAATTCAAATGGGGTCACAATGAGAAAATGAAAACTTAGTGCGAGTGAATATAACTCTTTATAAAGGCTGAGTTCTCCTTAGATTCAAGTGTGCCCTGCATTAACTCCAGAAATCAGCAGTATCGTAGAGTCATTAATCTTACAGGGAGAAATATAAACCAGGTGGGCAGACTCCTAACATCAGCTAGACCAGCCCCAGCGAAGGATGGCTAATTAGCTGCCCCCAGTGTCTGCAAACTGTTCAACATTAACTCTGGCTCCTGCCAAATTCAGTTCCAGAACAAAGAATGGTTATTTGTGACATGTCAAGTTTTTTAGTATATTTGTGTTACCAACTTAAAACAGTTTAAAGATGAGAAGAAAATTCTAGCATTTTGAAGGCATAGAGCCATTTATTATATATGACACCCATATGCCTCTTTCCTAGAAGATGCAACACAGAGCATTGTCAAGGGCTCCCACTTTCTCAAGGGAGGCCTCATCACAGCCATGTCTCCTAGGCTCCTCCCAAGAACAGGAACAACCCAGTGAGCATGCATTCATATGTCACACACTTTACCAACATCATTTCTCATCATTCTTATAAAGATGTTATAAGGAGGGTCCCATCATCATGCTTATTTTACATATGAGAAAACTGAGGCACAGAACATCATATAAGTTGTCCATATCCTCACTTCGCAAGTGGTATTGCTACAACCTAAGCTTAGGCAATTAGATGGCTGTACCTCCTCCTCCTCAGTGGAAGCAACTTTAGCAAGCAATTGATCTAAGAAAATATTGGAATTACCTCACAAACTTATTTAAAAGAAGATGGCTCTGTTTGGTCTTCATTTCATTAAAATCTGAAAACAGCCATTCAGAACAAAGCACAAATGAAATAAGCTGAACTTTGTTAAAATTAAGAACTTCAGCTTTGCAAAAGACAGTGTCGAGATAATTAGAAGACAAGCCACAGACCGGTGAGATATCTGCAAAAGGTATAGCTGATGAAGGACTGTTATCTAAAATATAAACAAACTCAAAGTTCAACATTAAAGAGACAAGCAACTTAATTAAAAAATGAGCCAACAGACATCTCACAAAAGAAGATATAGAGATGCAAACACACATAGAAAAGATGCTCCACATACGTCATCATAGAATTGCAAACTAAAGCAACAATGAGATACCACTACACATCTATTAGAATAGCCAAAATCTGGAGCACTGACAACATGAAATGCAGGCAAGGATGTGTCGCAACAGGAACTCTCATGCGTTGCTGGTGGGGCTGCAAAATGTGCAGCTACTTTGGGAGACAGTCTGGTAATTTCCTCCAAAACTAAACACACTGTGATCTACAATCCAACAGTCATGCTCCTTTGCATTTACCCAAAAGAGTTGAAAATGTGTGTCTACACAAAACCCTGCACATAAATCTTTATAGCATCTTTATTCATAATTGTCAAAACTTGGAAGCAACCGAAGTGCCATTCAGTCTGTGAAGGGATAAACAAACTCTGGTACATCCACACAGTCGAATATTATTCAGTCTTAAAAAGAAATGAGCTATCAAGCCATGAAAAGCTGTGGGGGAGAAAACACGAAATGCACATTGCTAAGTGAAAGAAGCTAATCCAGAAAGGCTACATAGGGTATGATTCCAACTATATGACATTCAAGAAAAGACAAAATATGGAGACAAAAAATGATTAGTGGTCCAGCTGGCCCTCTTGGCCAAGCCCCTCTTCTCTGGGACAAAAGGGGAGGGGGCAGGAGACCGGGCTGGAGCTCCAGATCCTTCAGCCTCTATCATGGAAATAAATTAAGTTTCTCAATAGAAAAAAAAAATGATTAGTGGTTATCACAGGTTGGGTTGGGGGTAGGGGTGAATAAGCAGAGCACAGTGGACTTTTAGGGCAGTGAAAATAATCTATATGATATAATAATGACACATGTCATTATATGTACATTTGTTCAAACCCATAGAATGTACGATACCAAGAGTTGACCCTAATGTAAACTATGGACTTTGGTTGATAATGTGTCAATGTAGGCTCATCAATTAAGACAAATGTACCACTCTGGTGGGGGATGTTGGTAATGGGGGTAGTTATGCCTGTGTGTGAGGATACACCGTGGAATATATGGGAAATCTCTGTATCTCCCACTCAATTTTGCTGTGAACCTAAAACTGCTCTAAAAAAAATGAAGTCCTTTAAACACACACACACTCCCTCCAAACCAACACCATTGGTCTGGGTAATCGTACAACCAGCTGGACTGTTTTGATTGAATTGACCTAACACTTAAGTTTATTTTTTAAAATGTATTAACTTTAATAAATAAACTAATCAGGAAGAAAGGAAAAGTTCAACTCTCTGTTTGCGTCAGTTGATTAGCTCCTGAACAGAATTGACGGGTTGCTTGAATTGTTTGACAAACTCCTTTGTGTGGTGAGGGTGCGAGTCTGTGTGTTTTCATAGAACTCCTGTCAGTGCAGCCCAAACTGTGTGCGGTGGGGACACAGCTTACCAGTGTGCTGAGCGCTGATTCAAGTCAAAAGTTCTTTTACATCCCCTGAGTTCCAGAGGTGCCATGTAAATATGTTATAATTTTCCTTATGTATTCACTTCATATTTTCCCCATCGCTGGAGAACTTGAAGTGTTTTTGCAATGTACACTACCATGAAACGTTAAGCACGCAGGGCTTAAAACAAAACAGTTTATCTACAGCAGTTGTTCTTCGAGTGTTGTCCCCAGTGAGCAATATGGGCCTCTCCTGGGAGCTTGGTAGAAATGCATATTCTCATCCCATCCCTGACCTATTAAATTAGAAACTCTGGGGATGGGCCCAGAGATCTGTGTTTTGATAAACCATTCAGGGGATTCTCATGCTCACAGCAGATTGAGAGCCATGGCCCTAAAGGAAAAGAAAGAGGGGACACCACCAGATGCCTCAAATGAACCCTTGACTTCCAGTGAGTACAGTCTCCGGCATCCACAGTTCTGTGTTCCGCCATTTCAATTACATGCGGTAAACCACAGTCCAAAAATATTAAATGGAAAATTCCAGAAATAAACAATTCATATGTTTTAAATTGCACACCGTTCTGAGTAGCATGATGAAATGTCTCCTTTCCACCCAAGATGTGAATTAGTCCTTTGTCCTGAGTGTCCACACTTGTATACACTTTCCGACTATCAGCCATTTAGTAGTTGTCTCAGTCATCAGACCAGCCATCAGAGAGAGAGCCCACATTCACATAACTTTTATTACAGTATATTGTTATAATTGTTCCATTTTATTATTCGTTATTATTGCTACTCTCTTACTGTGCTAATTTGTTTATTTTTAAAAAATATATATTTTTTATTTCAGAGAGGAAGGGAGAGGAAGAGGGAGAGATAGAAACATCAATGATGAGAGAGAATCATTGATAGGCTGCCTCCTGCATGCCCCACACTGGAGATCGAGCCAGCAACCTGGGCATGTGCCCTGATTTGGAATCGAACCGTGACCTCCTGGTTCATAGGTCGATCAATGCTCAACCACTGAGCCATGCTGGCCCAGCTTACTATGCCAGTTTATAAATTAAACTTTATCCTAGACATATGCATAGGAAAAATACATATCATATGTAGGGTTCATATTACCCTTGGTTTCAAGCATTCACTGGGGTCTTAGAATGTAGCCCCAAGGATAAGTGGGGATGACTGTATGAATAACAGATCTTAAGAATTTTCTATTGTGCTTTAGTTAATACTATGTGCCCTAAATAAAGTTGTCTTGTGAGTTTTTATTCCTTCTTTCAATCTTTGGCAGTTCAAGCACTGAGTTTAGGTCAGATGGAACTGGCCAAATAGACAGTGGCAGATTGATAAGCGTGGATCACATAGAGCAATTTAATTAAAACTAGCAAAATGCCCCAAACCCATATTGGTCAGTCCAATTAAACTAATCATCTTTTACAAATAAATTGATCAACATTGCTGTGAGCTCCTTGTTGACTTGGGAATTAGCTATAACAACTCAAAGCACTTAAACCCATTAAATGTAAATTATTTTTTTTCATATAAAATTCTGCCAGATTAGCCTTATAAGATTGAGAAGATTGTCTCGGCCAAATAAAATATCCCTTAAGAAGAAAGGAGTGGCACATCCCTGTCGCCCCAACTGGTATCAGGGCAGGCTGACTGAGAAACACTGAAAGGGAAACTGAGGCAGAGCTTCCCAGGAGGGTACACACTAGTAACAAGCATTTCTCCTTATGCCCTAGCATGGAAGGTTCCATTGTGAATCTGCCCCAGATCGTGGCTCTAAAGAAGAAATACAAGGCTTACCTCTACATTGATGAAGCTCACAGTATTGGGTCTGTGGGCCCGACTGGCCGGGGTGTAGTGGAATTCTTTGGAATGGACCCTCAAGATGTCGATGTGTTTATGGGCACATTCACCAAAAGCTTTGGAGCCGCGGGAGGTTACATCGCTGGAAGGAAGGTAAGAGAGGGACTCCTTGTGTCTCTGCCAACCTTGAACAATCTGGGGACGCTGTCTGAGGACTTCTCTGGGTTCCGGGAGAACTTCAGTTCCCCATACCTCGCTTGATCACGACAGGAGTTCCACAGCCAAGGAGCACCCAGAATGTCAAGGAGCTCACCAGCCGACAGTGCAGAGGAACAGGTGATGAGTTATTGGATTAGAATACAACAGCCACCCTATCTGTGTACACAGGCCAAGACAGTGCCAAGCAGAAGATGGTTAACTGCAGGGAAGAAGTGTTAGAATGAATGTCAGCTTTGCAGACAAATAATGGGGGATTACATTTCTATATACCAAACCTCAGAAATGATAAGGGGGTGCTATAAAACTGTAAGTAGTGTGGGTTGGGGGGTATGAAAATACAAAGCAACAGTGGGCAAAGGTCAGATATTCAGAACTCTGTGCTGTAGTGGTTTTAATCAAAATAGGAGTAGCAAGATCAGAAACATCCTTTTTAGGGGTTTTCTCTGCAGGATAATTATCTCTCACAATTTTGGAGAAGTTGTGATCAAATCTTGTCATCCTTTAATATCTATATGCCTTAAAAATTCTGATCTGATGGGGTTAGACTCCATTCATTCTAGTGCCAGTGTCACCAAGGGGGTTGCCAATATAAACCAGTAAACGTTTAAATGAAATTTAAAAGAGGGAAGCAGAAAAAGAAAATGAGATATTCAAACCTGTGTTTGAGGGATAAAGGAGACAGTTGCCTGCTTCGTTATTCTGAGGGTTTTATACAAATCCTGATAGCTATCTCATATAGGTCTACGCCTGTCCCAAAGAGACTGCATGCAGCGGTGTTGGCTCTGCCCAAGAGGGCACAGCAGGCCCCAAACCAGTGCGTGCAAGTGACATCAACTGCTTACCGAGAATTTCTTGTTCCTTGATCATTGTGTCCAGCAGGGACAAGAAAGAGTTCAGATTCCTGGTAAACCAGTTAGACAAACATGGAGGACAGCCGAAAACAGTGTGGTCATTGAACACTGGGATTTAAAGCAACAGATTTCATTGCGGTCCTGCCATGAGTTGCACAAATGCTTCAAATGTTCAGCGTTTTCAGCGTCCTTTCCCCTTCACTAAGCATTGCTTTTTTCCCCCAAGCTCAAAGCATTGTTTTTCATCCTGTGGGAATTAGCCGGGTGACGCTAGATACCAAGGGAGTGCACAGGAGCCTACCAAACTCAGCTAAGTCTGGTGCAGGGTGAAATGCTCCCGCCCTAGAGCATGGAAGCAGTGGGACCAGAGCAGCGGTTCTCAACCTGTGGGTCGCGACCCCTTTGGCGGTCGAACGACCCTTTCACAGGGGTCGCCTAAGACCATCCTGCATATCAGATATTTACATTACGATTCATAACAGTAGCAACATTACAGTTAGGAAGTAGCAACGAAAATAATTTTATGGTTGGGTCACAACATGAGGAACTGTATTTAAAGGGCCAGAAGGTCTCGGATGCCTGAGCTGCCTTCTCCGGGCTCCAGGGCTTCGTGAGCTTGTGGTCTTGTGATTACTTTAGCAGCAGTTCTGAGCTATGGAAATTTTAACCAAGATTAACTCCTTTTCCTGATCCAAAGGCACCTGAATAAACCGAGGCTAGCGTGTCCTTGAAATATTGTCAAATTTGTTAGATGTCACATTTTCCCCCTCAGAGTTCCTTCCTCTTATATCACATTAAACAAAGACTCATGGTTACCCTGAAGTAAGGCCCAGCTCACAGTTTTCTCTCACACTCTCCATCCCACAGTCAGTAGACTATTTTAAAGGTTTATTTGCTCTTGTCTATGTAGCTTCTCTTCATTTGGAGTACATACTGGACAATTGTGAAACTACTATTATTTACTTAATCAGTACGCATTCAATCTTTTTCTAGATTTTTGGATCAAAACAATTATTTTCAAATCACAAAGTTTTACTAAGAACCCGATGAGCATAGTAAATTTGAAATTATTAAGGTTTCATACCAATACGCAGAAAATGTATGCCTATCTGTTCATTTTCTTGCTCTGTAAAATACTCATTCTGTGCATGCTTATGTCCAGAGGACTGCATCATTCTTCTTCGTCCTGCTCCTCCTCCTCTTCCCCTCCCTCTCTCTTCTTTTCCTTCATGTTGCCCTGCAGGCTCTGAATTGACCACTAGATGGCAGCAAGAATTAGGAAGTGTTTGGCAGAGATCCATTATAGCCTATACATGGAGACCTTCTTCTGCCCCAATCAGCAAGAGGCTAGTTTTCAAGACCTGAAAGGTGAGCAGAAGATAGAAGGCCACCTGAGAAAGTGTCTGATGATTTAAAAATCAATCAGATACACGCCTGTCTGGAATGGTTTTGGTGAGACTGTAATAAACCCAGATAAATTATGGTTTCCTTCCAGCCAAATGAGTTAATGGAACTTTTATATCTGCTTTTCTGTACATTTTTTTTAAAATTATGTTAATTTTAAATTATGTATAGTTTCAATTTAAATCAAACTTTTATTCCCCTGGACTTTTAATAAATTTGTGGCGAATTTTTACCTGGTATTTGTTTTAAACTATGTTTTTTAACTAGTAGGACATAGAGTTGAGCAAATGCTAATGCTTTTGCTTGAAAAACAATATTGCTACTTATCTATTTAAATAATTAGAGTACAGTTTTCAGAGTTTCACCATATAACTATTTCTGGATAATTTTCAATATATGTCTCAATTTGATGGGTATTAAAAATATCCAGGATTCTAAACCAATGGGTACAAAAACAACAAAATTAACCATAAAAAGTGTTCACACGCACATATGGGGACTTTACATTGGTCTGAAACCTTAATAATTTCAAATTTACTATGTTGATAGGGTTCTTAGTAAAATCTTGTGATTTGAAAATAATTGTTTTGATCCAAAAATCTAGAAAAAGATTGAATGCCAAAGTTAGGGTTAGTCATAGAGGGATAAACATAACAATTACTAAGAGACTAGAAATCTTAGTGGAGTTGGTCAAGGTGAGAACTATGTATATTAGCAACCAGATGCATCAGGTAAGAAAAAATATTTGGAAACAAAGGGGAGAAAAAAAATGGTTTGCTCCTAAGATAGTACCACAGATAGTAGAGATCTTGTCTTGGCTTCAGTCTTCCTGTCACAAAGTGTCCTACAAATTCATCTCTGTTTCCTGGGAGGCACTGCCCTGACCTCAACCTTCTCTCCCTGCCTCAGAGAAACTGCTAAAAAGTATCTTAACTGTCAGCAAGATTTTACGATTTTGCTCACTTTGAGTTTGGAGCTGCTCTAGATAATCTGTGAGCAACTCAACTTGGAGGATTCTGTCCTTTTAAGACTTTTGAGGTGAAATATCAGGTAATTGTCTTCACCTGTGGGAGCTCCATGCCATGAACGGCTTCTTTAAAGAATACCTGAGATGATGGAGCTAGGTTTCTTATTTTTATTTTGTAATTTGTATTGATCCAGTTGCTGAGGAGATGGGTCGACACTGCAAATCCAGTTTTGGGAGTTCACGTTTTCCTCAGGCATGATCTTGAGTTCTCTTGCATGCCTGGTGCTGATTCCTATCTTTCACAGCCTTCGCAGACTGACCAGAGACTTGCAAATGAATGAAGCAAAGGTAGCCTTCATGATTGATAGGTTGCAGGGCTGGAATTCTGGAGGAGGGCAGTGGGAACAGGCAGCCACGTATGGAGAGAGCATCAGCCCCAGAAGCCTGTGTGCCAGACGAAGGCAGGCCCCTTGCAGAAGCCAGCTCTGCCCTGCGTGCTCAGCCCTGGCTGCATTTAACAGCCCTTTGAAGTAAATGGGGGTCATGGAATGAACACCAAGATGTTTATTCTAAGAGTCTCCTGTCTGATTTTCTCAGAAAAGCTACCCTTGTCCTTGAACTCCAAGCCTATGGGTAGAGAAAATAATCAGGGTTTTGAACGTACAAATGGACATGGAAACTTCGGTCTAAGAAGACCTCTAACCCACCCTGAAGGAAGACACAACCCAGACCCGCCTTGCAAAAAATACCAAAGCCAACTCTTAATTCATGGCTCATGGTGCCCAATGGGGGAATGTTAGGAGGGAATTTAAAAAAAGAAAAAGAAAAACAGAAAACAAGGCTTTCCTTGATGCTTTGCAGAAGTTACTCAAAGAACCCCACTTTCTAAACCACATAAGCAAATTAGCCCCTGTCCGTACACTCAGACTCTGAGAGAAAGTGGACTCCGTCTAGGAGAAAGAAGAGCATGGGCAAGATAGGCTTAATGTTAAAAGGATGTGATATTGCATTGAGGAGGCATTTATTCTAACAGAATGCATGTGATCTTATGAAACTTCTCGATTTTCTAAGAAAAATTGAGGGTTGGGGACACTGAGAAGAACCCTTAGGGATCAAAGGCACCTTTGTTTTGTTTCTTTGTCTGATCAATGCCCCAAGGCTAAGAGAGTATCACTATAGTTTTTTGCTATAGAATGCAGCTTAGTTTGCCTGATACCCTTCAGGGACCCTCACCACCCTTCCTCAATCCTTAAAAGGCTCCTGCTCTCCATTAGACCATCAGGACTTACCAGACCCCGGCTAAGTAACCACCACTATGGACTTTCAGAGAAGTGTGTAACTGTGTTCCCTGCTCTCAAGGAGGTTTCAATCTCTTTGGAGAAATAAGATTAATATACATGAAACATTTGATGTTGATGCAATTCAATCTACTGTTCGGCTCTTTAAACACTTGAATATATAAGGAATTATAACATCCTCTCAGAAAAAGAGGAACAATCTCTGTGGACTAGGAAAAAGTAAAAGTGAAGGTGGTCTTCTCTGTGCCCTCCTGGTCCTTCCTCTCCTGTCTGGAGAGGTAGTACAGTGTGGTGTTAAGGGAGGGGACTCTAGAGCCAGACACTTTGGGTCTAAATCCTTGATATCTAACCACTATTTGGTTGAACAGTTTTCTGATCCTTTCTGTGACTCAGCAATCCCATCTATAAAATGGAGATGAACACAGTCCCTATATCGTAGAGCTATGATGAAGCTAAAATGAGTTGACATATGTAAAGTTTGTAAAATGGAACCTCAGCCGGCCAATGAGTTTCAGCTATGGATATGTCATAGCCCTTGAACATTACCCTCTGCAAACCAGGAGAGCTGGAATAAAAGGACTCCAAGGAGTTTTTATATTTTGGTCCCTTCCTTCTACCCCATGCTCCCAGTTCTAAGAATCTCTAAGTTGGCAATCTATTAATACTTGCTTACAGCATCAGGTGTTCACTTAGAATTAGATCCTATTCTAAGCACCATATGTATATTAACTCATGTAATCCTTATAATGACTCTGAAGTAAACATAATTTTCTCATTTTTCAGAGAAATAAGTTAAGGCACAGAGAGGTTTAGTAACTTGCCCATGATCACAAATCAGTAAGTGGCTGAGCCAGGGCTTGAACCTAAGCAATCAGATCCCAGAGCCTGTGGTGGAACTCCAAGGTCATATCTTCTCTCAAGGAGACAACCCCTCATCACCTTTTTCAGAAGCACTATCTTCTCTCTCTACTCCCAATGGACTCCTCCATTGTTTACTGAATAAGATGCTATCTGTATTCCTAGTTTTAGCACATGCCCATGCCTTTCTCCTCTTCCTCCTATATCCAAATCTACCCATCCTTCAAGACTGGACCACCTCCCTGAAACAGCCCTTTCTGACTCAGGTCCACAGGAGCACCCATCATCCTGTCTCCTGCACCCTCCCAGGTGTTCTAGTTGGCTTCCTCAGCATCCTGCTGGGTGGTATCAGCTCTCAACAGAGAAAGGAAATCCCAGCTGCTGCTCAAAAAGGAGCATTGAACATAGAGCTGGTGCAGCTGCTCTGGGAAATGGTTGCCTTTCTCTCTCTCTCTCTCTCTCTCTCTCTCTCTCTCTCAACCCCCCCCCCATCCTCCAAAATGAACTTCACAAATGCCTGCAGCCAGTGCCTTCCATCATCATGCACATACTCTTCAAATAAGGTGAAAGCCAACCCAACTGTTTTTATGAGATTCACTAAACAAAAGAATAGACAGAATCGAATTTTAATTTTAAGATAAGTGGATAATACCTGCCAAGGACTAGTTTTTAGACCTGTCTTCTCTTCTTGGACTCCCACATCCAGAGCATAGCCCAGAGAAAAAAGGTAGGGGGTAGGGGGAGGAAGAGAAAAGAGAAAAAAATGAAGGAAGGAGGGAGGAAACAGAAAAGGAGAGAAAAAATTTAAGTGGAGAATTTGAAATTAAAAGAAGAGGGAGACTTAGTAGAAGGAAGGAGAAAGAGACAAAAAGAAGGAATGGAGAAAAAAGAGTGAAATGAAGAAGGAATTTTGGAAGAATGATGTATGAAGAGGGGATTTAGAATGAAGGGCATATGAAGGATGCAGGAAGGACAGAATGGAGCTACCAGTTCCCCTGCCCTGGGCCTGGTAGAGGCATCATGTTACCCACCAGCTGTAAGGCAGGTCACTCTCTTTACTGAAGATGAGCTATGAATGTTTACAAAGCTTGTGAACAACCATGGCACCAGACCCCAAGTGAGATAGAAAAGTGGAGGATAGGGCACAGTTCAAGGTTCAGAGGTGGACATGGATGTGTCCAATAAAGGGGAGATTAGGAAGAGATGAGCCTGCCAAAAGCACAGGTCCCCCCAGTTCACCTACATGAGGGAACAATTGATAAGACGTCTCAGTGGGATTCTAAACTGTCTTGTTATCTTAGAAGAGAAGGTGGCTGATCCTTTACAGACCCCACTGCTAATACAGAGAGCCGTCATCAGCCCATTAGCTTTTCTTCAGAACACCCTGAAGGTCCCAGGCAATGAGCCAGTACAGGTGGGAAGATAGATGGATTCCCAGCTGGAACTGAACACCTCCAGATGCCAGCTCTGTGGCCCTCCTGACTGTGACTTTAGGAGCTTCTTCAGGCTCTCAGCAGACCTACGTGGAACCTTAGGTTTGGCCTTAGGAGTCAATCATTACTCCCACTGAGGACCAGCATTCTGTAGTGAGTCAACACTCCAAATAGTGTTGCACTAAAGTTCTAGTAGTTTGCTACTGCCCAAGGCATAACCAGAGTTTATCTGGTTCTGATCTACACTGTGGTTTAATGTCACACTTCTCCCTCTGCCACTCCATCCCACACCCAAGTTTTCTTTTGTTCTATATTTGTCTTTATTCTTCAAAATATAATCAATTTCACCTTCTCGCTGGAACTTTCCCTACCTTCTCCAGCTAGCAATAACTCCCTCTCTTTCCTCTGCAGTCTATAGCTCTGTTGCATATATTAGTTTATTTCTTGTTATTTTTCCTACCAATAATTTTCCGTGGGCACAATGTAATGTAGTATGCGCGATGGCAAGATCACATCTTGTATTTTTTGGACACTCCTGAATACTAAGCCAGTAATTGTACATACTAAATACTCAACTAATGTTTGGGAAATCATTTTTCTTTTACACATCTGGTTTGGCCCTACAGACCTCAACTCCAAAGTTGCTGCCTTTATTGTATACCTTCTAAGGTTTTGAGGGAGAAACTAAGAAGAGAGATAAAAAAAAAAAGTTTGGTAATACCTATTAAAAATTGGACCATATCAAGAATCAAATGTCTCATGCTGTGATGAATGGGGTTGGGACAAGATGTGACTGTCACCACCAACACTGAGACTTACTTGCCTTCTTTTCGGATTTACCTCCTTTATTAAAGGACCTTGTGGATTATTTACGGGTTCACTCACATAGTGCTGTTTATGCTACCTCCATGAGCCCCCCGATAGCAGAGCAAATCATCAGATCAATGAAATTCATCATGGGACTGGATGGGACCACGGAAGGTAAGCAGGACTGCAGTGAGCATGGCTCCCGTGAAATCCTTTCTAGACCTCTCCTTGTCCTTTTGCCCCATCAATTTTCCACTTCTGTAATATATACCTTTGACTTAATGTAAATCAATTTATAAATCAACCCATGTGTACATAAATAGTACCTGATACACATTATACATAGTACACATATGTACTAGAACTGCTGTCAGTGCACACAAAAAAAGGAATGCTTTTTTAAAGCAATGAAAACTTTCTCATTTGCTTCTTAATGTGATCAGCAAATTTGGATAACTTTGTGTATTAGTTGTGTTAAAAATGGAGCAAACAACGCCATGTATTTGCCTGTGCTTTCTCGGGGCTATTTGTCATATTTTTTTAAATCTTTCTACCCATTTTCCTTTTATTCTTTCTTTCTGCCTTTATTTCTTTCATGGGAAAGGAAATCCACCATTGGCCATTGAGAATATATGGACAAACCAACACACAATGAAAACTTTCCAGCCATTTCTTTGACATTGGGTCTCCATAGCCAAAGTTTGCCACTTGGCTCAACCCAAATGAGCTTAATCTTCTTTTTGAAATATTGTTTCATCAAAACTTCTTGGAGGTCTCCTTCTATCTTTCAGATATAATTTATAGATCTTCTACTTCATAGCATAGTGCAAATAACAGTGGTGAATTAGTCACTTCTTGCTGCCAGACATCTGGCGAATGCATTCAGGAAAGTAGCGAATTATATGGGACCAGAACTGGCCACTGGGCTAAACAATCCATGTGCCCCACCCCACCTCCCAGCTGATGTGCAGTCCTATTATTTAGTTCAGCCTTACAAGCCTACTATTTCAGTGGAAGCCTACAGAAATCCATCATTCTTCAATTTTATCAAAACAGCAGGATAGCCACATACAAATTTTACCTAGAAGCCTACTATATAAAATAGATTAGAACAGGGTTGGTCTGTTCTAATCTCCAAACTGGTGGTCCCTGAGACCTTTCTACTGTGTCCTAGTGATCCCCCCAGGTCACTAGTTTGAAAACTCCCAAGATAAACCTTTTTTCACAAAGCCAGGAAGATGACCCTCAGAGTGACATTGTTCCTCCTCCATGTAAAAGACAGCTATTGATTGATCTCTAGGGTCCCTCCAGCCTTGTCTTTTGGGTTTTATTATTCCATGTCTTATTGAACAGTTTGAGTGAAAAGGAAATGAAAATCCAATCTAGGGAAGCCACATGGTATGATGGTTAAGGGCATAGACTGAAAGCAACTCCTTGGCTTTGACACCTGGAATACTACTTACTCACTGTGTGGCCTTAGGCAAATGACTTAACTTTTCTGTTTAACCCTGGTTACTTCTCTATGCTTCGTTTCCTCTGCCTGTAAAATAAGGGCATTATTATTGATGTGTCAATGGTTTTGTGAGACATCAAAAATACTTAAAATTGTGTCTGAAAACAATTGTATTGTAAGCATTATATAATTGCTCGCTATGTTATCGGCTGTTATTCCTGAGGTGTTCAAGAATTTAGACCATATTTCAAGGGTGCTGTAGGAAGGATTCTTATGATGGAAGTGGGGGAAGACTACATGTACTCCAAGGTCCTGGATTAGTCAGGGTAAGTTATGCTGCCATAACAAGTAAACCTTGAAATTCCCAGTGGCTTAACAAAACCAAGCTTTATTTCTTGTTTGTACCACATCTTTTACAAATCAGGCAATTCTCTGCAAAGTTTGCCTCCATGGGGGCACTGATTCATGCTGCTGCTAGCTTGAGGGTTGGCCATCTCAGCATATGGCCTCCTTGGGCACCATGGTGGAGAGAAAGAGAGCATCAGCCTGGAAGTGACACTTATCACCTTGCTTGCAGTGTCACTGGCCCAAACTAGTCACATGGCCACACCCAAATTTGGGAAGCATAGTATACTAAGGGATATGGATATGACATGGATAAGCAGATATCTTTCAATCTTGTAAAACTGAAGCTAGAAGTAGAGCTACCCCATTCCCACATGAGTTCTCATGATGGGCACAAAGCTGGCCTGGCACCACTGCTTTCTCATGATGCCAGTTAAAGATCTTCTTGAACTTCACCCACTTCTTCATGGAAAACAACGATTTGAGATTTATGCTAAAGAGCAAGTTAAGTGAATTGTCTTGCAATGAACAGAATTATCCTTTGTCTTATTTTAGAGATGAATAGCTAGAAAAAAAAGTTATTCTGAAAATTTGCATATTTCCTAAGCTGTTTTGTGTGTATGTTGTCAGAACCAGATGATTATATGTACCCAACTTGACAGTCATCTTCTTTCCTCTATATTGCTTTACCACTTCGTCCCAGACAAAATTCGCTCTGTGTATCTGGTCACAGTTGGAGATCGGCAGAAAAATTACATTAAAGACATAACCATTTCTCCTTTGATAATTGTCTATCAGCAATTTTTACTCCTCTGCAGAGGGAGATATTTCCCTTGTTTTTTTCTCTCTTTGCCTTAAAATTTAATAATTATTTGGTTATTATTTTTAACCTCTCAGTTCAAGTTCCTCACCTCACTCCTCTCACAAGAGAGAAATAAGTAACAGAGAAAGCTATGTGAACAGCTAGTTTTCTTAAAACTAAGCTAGGAGAACCAGGGAGAAAGAGAGGACAGTTTCTTTTCAAAGGAATGAACAAAGGAAAGTAATAGGAAAGAAAATTGACAGTCATCAGCCGAGTTTCAGATGGTTCTGCCTGACACGTCTTTTGAAGAATTCAAAGGCAAAGCTGACTGATCATGCTGGCCTCATTTACGACAATGCCTGCTTTAAATAAAATGAGCAGGACAGGTTGGGAATATTGAGTTAACTCACCCCTTTCTGCCGAGATAGACAGACTCTCAGGGTAAAGTTGCCCAACGCTCAAAGGGAAGCACTATGTCACCCCGGAGCTGCCTTCCAGGATAGGATCTAAGAAAGAGGGCCCTGCTCCAAGCCTTCATCCCCAGCCCACTCCGCTGCTACTGTGATTGGAGCCTTTCAAGGCTTTGTGTCGGGTGGAGTTTGGGGAGCGTTGGCCAGATCTCTTCCTTGATGAATGTCTTCACTTTAATCTGCAATGCAAAGCCATGCGCTTCAAAGAAAGGCGAGCTACAGGAATAAGGTCAATATTCCTTTGAAGCCAAGGTTCAAAGATGAAATAGAAGTCCCAGTGAAATGACAGTGTTTATGCACAAACAGCCACCTCTACTCTGCAGCCTGGTTGCTGGGGGAGTTAATGCACACAGTCTGGGGGGCTGCGGGCCTGTCGCTGGCGCGTGGGTACCACATGCACGGAGGCCCGTTTCATCTCCTGGCCTGTCACTCCGTGCAGCACAATGAGCCCAAAGTGAAGATTTGGTTTCTCCATCCTAATGGATGTTGGGTGGTCCACCAGCCAAACCAAGGCTATCAGCCTTTGAAGAGCTAAAATGTGTCTTGAATTAATTTGGTGTTCCTCTGAGTGTCAAAGCCCATGCTCAGCTTAATAAATACGTCGTGACTCAACTTCCATCTCGCCGGCTTACTCGATTTCAGTGGCAGTGTCTATGCCAAACAAGATCGAGGGGATGTTTATGGTACCTCAGAGGAGTGGGAGCCTAGAATCAGTTCTACATAAGTTGTGGCCACTGAGGGGACCCCTTTGTGATTGGGCACCTTCAATGATTGGCATCACTTTTAAAGAGGTCGAGAAAGATTGCAGCTCGCTCATTTTCCTCATCTAGACCAGTGGTTCCCAACCTTTTTTTGGTCATGCCCCACCTAAGCATCTCTAAAATCCTGATGCCCCCCCCCCCGACCATGACATATAATTCTTATTATTCAAAAAGTGAACTCCTATTCATGTGGAGGAAGCATCAAAGGCCATTAGCTAGGTCTAAACAAGCTTCCAAAAAACATGGCATCCATGAAAGAGAAAAATAAAAGAACAAAAGGACAGTTGAATTACTGAGGAAGAAATCACTAAGAAATTTAAATAATAATAATAATAATATGAAGCAATATAAAAAAAAATAGCAAAGTTTCAAAACATTTAATGGAGAACTAAAATGCATAAATATGTCACAATGTATATTTATATACTATATATGAGGCCCCTCGAACCATACAAAATGCAAAAAAGATCACTGTTAATAACTCATCTAGAATTGCCCCCCCCCCTTTAAAAACCAAGTTGCCCCCCTGTGGGGCATGTGCCTCACATTGGCACCCACTGATCTAGACAGACAAGGCACAAGCAGGCACAGGAGGGTGAGCCTCAAACCACACCAATGGTCCCCTGAAGCAAGCATTGTCAACAGTTCTCTTTTTATTTATTTAATATTTGTAGCTTTTCAATGAATCAGTCAACATTCTTTTCGAGCTGTTAATGGTGGCCCTGCCTCCCCACCCTCACTTCCCTGGCTCTGGGCACCCTTTCACTTCTGAGACAATGGGGGTTGTATCACAAGGAGAATTAACGGGTGCGTTCTGCAGCTGGACTGCTCAGGGCCCAGTTCCCTGCCCCACATTTGCTCCATGATTGGCAAGGTGCTTACCTTCGTTAGCCTCTGTTCCTTTATTGTAAATTGGGGTTGTCAGGAGGATTCAATGATGTCAGGTAGATAATGAACTTAGCATGATGCTTGATGCACAGTTAATAGTTACTGTTGTTTTTAGCTCATCTGATTTCTTCCCTTCTCTACATTTTTCAGTTGTTTTTGTCCATTCTGGAATTCTGTCTTTCCCTCAGACCTCAGACCTGCTCCAACAGCATGTCCTGCAGGACTTCCTTTGACACATATCCAGAATCCAGTCACTTCTTACCACACCCATCCCTCCTTCCAGCAGCTCTCACCTGGATTACTGGAGACTCCAGGAGAGTCTCCCTACTTCTGCTCTTGTTTTTTTATGACTTGTTCTCCAAACAGAAGCCAAAATTCTATTTTAAAAAATGTAACTCAGACCATATCACTCATCCACTCAAAACTTTTCATTGCTTCCCATCTCAGTGTAAAGT